CCCCTCCTCTCTTCGATTGATCTTGAAGAGAAGTTCGATCTCTGTTTTAAAATTATTCCGAGCGCATTGTGTAATACATTTCATTTATTTAAATCGTGGCTTCCTGTAGCACATAACTCCCGGTACTTTAATTTTTTTGAATTTGTAGCAATGCACACAGAAGTGACTTCGAAACTGGAACAGGTGTCACTCCCTCAGAGGAAAGTGACAATAAATCGCATGGTTAGTCTACACTTTTTTTGTTTGAAGTTATTATTGTAATCGAAAAATCGGGGTAAACTTTTCTCCTGTTTGTTTTTCTCAAAATTTCGGCAGGTACAATTTGTCTGCTTCTGTAGTTTATAACTTCAATGCAAATTTGTACATCATGATCTGCCTGAACTACTGAATTCCCTATCAGTAGGATTATTGACCTCACACTGGTTGGCTGTAGCGTCGGTGTATTATTCTCCATGGTAGTACACTTCTCCTTACAATAGCACTTATACCTTTACTTTAATTTTTTTTTTCCCTATTTGTTTAGGTTGGTTCAATCGCTTTATGCTGGAATGCAGCATTGATTTTACTGGTTTAGTTTATTATAAATATAATACTGAAATTATAACAAAAAGCTATTCACTTTTTGGTACTAACTTTAACGATGGAAGTAAACGTGTATGCCTACTTAAAGAAGTGTTCAGCATTCAGTGCAGTTTCTACTGAACAGTTCCTGGCTTGGCATATTTAATAACATTTCCATTAAAATTAAACACTCGGGTTCTGTAATGACTTGTAAGAAAAATAATGAAAATTCTACTGCCCATGTGTTAATGCGCATGTTAGAAACCAGTTCAAAATCGGTTGATTGCTGAAGAAAACACAATTAACATGCGGTTATTTATGTATTTATTTATGGGTTAGCTATCTCCTATCCGCAACATTACAGATCAGCTAGAGCCAAACTGTTAACTACATTATCGCCCGTGGAGTTATCAATCCAAAAAAAAATTTTTGCTCATTTTTATCGCAGAAAAACATTTAATTAACTTGCCGAAGTTAAGAGGTAGGTGATGGGTTGAGGACATCAAGGCTCTTTCCATCTTCGAGTTCTTTGAGTATTAAGATGTCATATTAGTATTTATTTATATCAAATGGCAGACGTTTTGATAGTTAACATCAGCCCTTTAGTTGATTTTAGGCTTCACAGAGGGGAAGGAACATCAAAACGAAAAAAAGTCGAGAGGGGGAGGGGGAACAAAAGAGTGTTTCAAAGATGTAAGAGACAAACACAAAGGTAGAACAATGGTGAGGTGTGTACTGTGGAAGTGGTCGAATATGACATACAGTGGGGTGCTGGTAGTTTCAAGTCAGAAGTCAACTGCCGGTTGATAGACTTTTTTGCCGTATGAGTATACATTGCCCAGGGTGCACCACGTGGAGGTATGTCTATCCCACACCCCTGTTATATTAATTCTCGGATGCACATATTAATTCCACTTCCAGATCTCTTTGTAGGATTATGTCTTAGGTAATCAGATCTGATTGATTGGTTTGCACATATCTTTTACGTCGTCTTTTAGCCGTGTAATTATAGCCATACTTGGCATAATTTTCGTTAGCATGGAAGAATATGTTATATTTCTATGAAATCTTTATTCAACTGCCCTCCTTTGGATATAGATATTCGTGAAGCTTTTTCATCTATTATTGAAGGATTCTCCACAATTTAATATTATTTTTCCCCACACGTTTGCTTATTTTGAATATCCTTGTTCCCAATTAAATGACAAATCTTATTCACTGCGCTGACAGAATTTTAATTGGACAGACATGGTAGGTTGGGAATAAAATTGAATAGAAAATGGGGTGGGGGTGGGTGGTGGTGGTGGTTGAGGTAGGAGTTCGGAGCTACTCTATTAACAGGGGTGTCAACCAGTTAATCCACTTTATGAACTTCTTTTTCCTAATTTTAGTCGATGCTCATTGTGGAAAGTACGCGTTAACTCCGTCCAAGCCCCTTAGCGATGCTGTAAGTAATGCTTTCTGCTTATTTCATTAAATTGCTCAAGCAAGTTTTCGTATAGTGTATAACTATTTACACTGAAATCTCAACTGATTCGTAAGCCAATCTTACATAACCTCAAGGCACAAAAATGACAATGACTATATCAAGCGTGTCTGTAATGCGTGAATTTGAGTTTATTTAGGGGTATATCGCATTGTTGACAATCTAGTCAACTTGAAAGTTTGGAATTGTCTATGTTTGTGGGTTTTACTTAGAGTGATTAACTAATTGCGCCTTGAATGGAGTTTGAAATAAGGGCGCAATAATTGTGAACTAAAATCAAATATTTATATCAAATGGCAGGCGTTTTGATGGTTATCATGGGAGACAGAATAATGATTCACAGAGGTAAAAGAGACAAACAGACACAAAGGCAAAAAAGGTAAGATGAGTACTGTGAAAGGGGTCGAATATGACATTCAGTGGGGTGATGGTAGTTTGAAGTCAGAAGTCATCTGCCAGTTAGTCGTATGAGTATACGCTACCCAGAGTGCACCACGTGGAGGTAAATCTATCGCACACAGCCCAGCGTTGATCCAATAAGTACTCGCAGTTTCTAAAACTCCTTGTCAAAAGTGTTAATATTGAACAAAAACGCTGTTCTTGTGTGGTAAATCAACATTAACATAGGTAAGTTTCTTCCATTTTGGAATGACTTGCTTCTAATTAGCCATTCTTGTTGATGTTAGGTCTGTTACCCCAAGCAGAGCATTAATATATTAATCTGGAGATGCGAAATCCCTGGCATCTTTCTTGTCACCTATTTCGCTTCTTTCGAAACAATTTGTTTGCGAAAATATTTCAATTTTACTGCTTCTTTAACAAAATATTTTAATAAATATAATCATATTCTATCCATAAATGCCTTTGTTGCCAACTTGGTGGGTCATTTAGTGGCGAGAGTGAAATACTTTTTTATTGGAAAGAAAAAGGAACGAAAATAATTTTTGCTTTCGCCTTCTCCTCGTCACTCTCCGATTTTCTCTCTCTTTCTTTTTTTTGTTTTTTTTTAATAGGAATTTCCATTCCTTACAATTTCTCATCCACCAAGGGATCTAATTCGTCATTTCGGCAGTGCCATTGCTGCGAAATCAGTCAAATTATTGGATAAGAATGTTTCAGGTTAGTGGAAAAAATATCTCATCTTTGTTACCTTTTCATCTGGGCAATTGATTGTGTGAGTCTTATCAGTATACCACCCTAAATTACATACTTCACTTCAGTTGAACCTGAACCTTGAATGCAAGTTAGTATAAGAAGTTAGCCTACCTTCTTTCACTACCAATATAATCCTCTTTTTCTCTTCTGATTACCTCTTTTTCCGGCTGTCAGTTTTGAGGTATCCTCTGTGACCTCAAGACTTATTCGCCCCTTTACTTGTTGATTTCATCTTGTTTTCTCTTTCCCCCTTTATACTCCCCATACTTCTCGTTAATTTCCTTCCAGTAGACTTCTCCACTTTACGCTTGTGCAGATTCGTACTTAATCACCGGCAAATCTGTGGCTTTGAATTCTGTGCTCTCTCTCCCAGGGAAATGCTGTGTCGTATTGGCTATAAGAATTATATAATGTGTTTATGTCATAACATACTCGAATAGAAAGATAAATCGTCGTGACCTAACTTGTCAAATCTATTCCCCTTAAGAGGTTCACAGTTGTGTAAAAGTGCAACTTACAACAGGTAACCACCACTTGGAGATATCGTTAATTTGATGCAACTGACGCGAAGAAACAGTTGAGCTTATTCTCCATATTTGATTAATAATTTGAAGTTGAGTTCTCAGCTATCTCCTAACCGTTCAATCTCATTTTTTCTTTACTTGTGGATTCGAGCTAATTTACACTGTTAATAACCCTCTGGCTGAGAATTAGAACGAACTTCTTATTTACAAGATTTTATATATATATATATTCTAATTCATAATCTAGTAATCAGGAGATGATTGCGCACAATTTAATTCATTATTTAAAATACTATTTACGCTTGTGTGTTCGCCTGCAATATCTCCAAATTGGATGCATCGATCTGAGCGTTCACTTCCGGAATTATTTACCACCATCTTTTCAGCCGCATAATTAATTAAACTAGCATTAAGCATTTAAAATTCTGGAGATTTCCCTAGGGCTTACTTCTTAATTTATCTGCAACTTTAGGTAAAGACTCATTTCTTCATCTAATGTTCAATCAATATCCTAATGGTAGGTTTCTCTCTAAAAGATGGGCATACCTTCTGTTGCATTCTAATAGATATAATTAGCACAGTGTTCTGCCCTCTACCTTGATGTGAGAAACGTGTAAACACCTGTTGCACAAATTACCAAATACCTCCATTAAGTCAATCGGTTGTTCACGATTGTTTATACGCGCAATTGCCGGAGAAGTGGAGGATAAATTAGCCAATCATATGCCACTCACATTTATTTCGCGGGTGGTCTAAATTTTTCACTCGTCTTTTCGCTCCCTTATTTGGGGGGCAGTCAATTCGATTTTGTAGTGACTATTTTATTTATTATTTATTTATATCAAATGGCAGGCGTCTTGATGATTATCATTAGCCCTTTAGTTGACTTCAGACTTCACAGAGGGGATGGAACATCAAATTGAAAAAAAGTCGATAGGGGGGGGGGCGGAACAGAAGAGTGTTTCAAAGATGTAAGAGACAAACACAAAGGTAGAAAAAAGGTGAGGTGAGTACTGTATAAATAGTCGAACATGGCATGGTGTGAGGTGATGGTAGTTGGAAGTGAGAAGTCAACTGCCAATTAATGGCTTTTTTGCAGTATGAATATACGTTACCCAGGGTGTACCACGTGGAGGTAAGTCTATCGCACACCCCATTTTATTTATTATTGAATTATTATTAGCCAACAAATGGTAAAATAGTCACGCCTCTTGTAATGTGGGTGGCTTTGTTTATCCCCTCATTTTGAGCTAAGAGTTCCCACTTGTTGGGGCATTACATTTCCAACCAATATCTATTTTCGCCTAGAAGGCTTCTGCATTTAAAATTATCTATTATTTGTAGTAGTAGTAGTAGTAGTATTTTAAAACACTCTTCTACTAATTATTTCTATAAGTGCAAAAATCGAATATTTGTAAAGTATCGTTGAATTCAATTAATGGAATTTGTCATCCCTTAGCTATCAGCGCAAGTGGATAAAAATATGTCCTAGTTTGACCTTCTTACCAAAAAAACGCAGGATAAGGTTTGACCCCGGGATAATTTAATTTAGAAAGGCATTTAAATTGAACTTTTTTGCTATATTAAACATTTCTGTTATAACCTAATTAAACTCCCATAAATGTGTAAAAGTCCCAAAGCTTGATTATAAGCATAGGCTTAACGTCAAAAATTATTCAAGTCAGCAAAACTTTATAAATATGCAACTTTTCTCAATAATTGATAATAAGGTGGTAAATAAACCTGTCTTGGGTTAAAATGATTCCTTTTATTCAAAATTGAGTCGCCTTCAATTTGTCGAAAATTCACTCTTGTTGTTTTACATAACTTCATTGACTTTTTAGCCAGTTAAATAATATGGGCGTGAAATCCATGCTTCTAATGACCGACATTCCAGTTATAATGGGATCTATTGTTAAAGTAGAATAAGTAGGTGAGGAGTGTATGTAGGCTGAAACTACGGCGGTACTTGTCCTCTTTCCACAATGAATGCCTAATAACGGTTTTGTTTTTCTTAGTAATCATGACCTGCGTATTGTTGTACCCTAGAGATGACGAAGTCTCGAGCTTCCTGGTGGCTAGAACTTCGCACGGAGGCGCTGACTCGAATGTACAACGTGGGGTGTGATGCACTAATTGGGTATCGTGAAGAGTGTACAATCTACGAGGATGTCTGTGTTCTCTCTGTCTATGCAACCGCTGTGACCTTGAATCAACTTTGGATTCATACATTGCCTTTTGATAACTCTCCTGCGTCTTCATTGTCGTCTCGACAACCCTCGGGACAAGGTCTGTTTTCTCCCTTGCAATCACCACTTCGGATATCATTCAATTTAACTCTGTGTAGCTTGATTGAAACGATTGGACTGTTAGTGCTTAGGCCAATAGAAACGTTCTTTAAGTAGTAATTTAATTAATTAATTATTCGTTTTCAACAACAATTTGGTCATTTTCTATCCTCTCATCCTTTTAAAGTTATCTTAAACACGTACTGGTTCCTTTAAGTATACTTTATTTATTGAGAAATTTAGCATGATGTTATCTTATGAAGCTATTTGCTTGTTTTTGTCAAGCATTTTTAAAGTTAATGAGTTCTATTATCATATCTCTGGAAATCCCTCACTGTAGGAAAATATGCAGTTATTCAGTTTGCGTAAAAATGAAGGATGAGCGGTCCTTTGAATAGTCAGTCACTGGAGTTAGATCTATTCTGAAAAGTGTCAATATTCATCGAAAACTTGGTCGGGGCGGCAGTGGGGGTTGGAGGGGTTATTCATGGCTTCGTTACATGTCATTAAACACTGAGTAACTGGAATTACAAATTCTATAAGGCATTGCAGTATGGAAAAATGATTGCCTTAAGATGCCTTCTCCTTGACCCTTGTAGATTGTGTGTGTCTTAGCCCCCCCCCCCCCCCCCCCCCCCACCCAATGTCAACTTTGAGGCTCTTCATAAATGTCACCATGTTGTTTTATCGTGGTTCGATGTCTTTCAGCGGTTGTTTAAATGTACTCCTTAGTTAAAAGACGAAATCCTTTTTCAGTCTGTGTGCATTTGGCACATCAAGGGATTCTTTCTTAGAAGAAATTGAGCCGATCATAAATAAGTGCCATTGATTTTGTAAACGAAAATTAAGGACCATGCTCTAAAGGTGGAGGGGGGGCGTTCCAACCCGTCACTGCGGAAGTGGAAATGTTAACCGCATAAATAAGTGGTTGTTAGGCAATTTGATGAGTTCCTTTGAATTCAACCAATAATAAATTGCTTCAATCTCAAGAACTACATGTCTGAGGATTATTAGTCTCTTTTATGCTTATTAAATATTTATTTATATCAAGTGGCAGGCGTTTTGATGGTTATCATTAACCCTTTAGTTGACTTCAGGCTTCACAGATGGGAAGGAACATCAAAGTACGAAAAATTCGAGAGTGGGTGGGAGGACTGAAGAGCGTTTCAAAGAGCAAGGTAGAAAATGTGTGATGTGAGTACTGTGGAAGTAGTCGAATATGACATACAGTGGGGTGATGGTAGTTTGAAGACAGAAGTCATCTGCCGGTTTGTAGACTTTTTTGCCGTATGAATATACGTTGCCCAGGGTGCACCACGTGGAGGTAAGTCTATCGCACACCCCAATCAGACTCCCTGACCGGGGGTTGAACCCGGTCCGCCTGGGTGTGAGCCAGGATCCTAACCGCTAGACCATCAGGGAGGCAAGCTTATTAAATATCAATTTTATGTTCTTTCATAATGATGTATTTAGGAAATCGCAAAAGACTGGTATTTGTGAACTTGGCTTCTAGAAAAGTGCACTTTTTGTTTGCAGAATCCTTGGGCAGTACCGGAACTGATTCCCATATACCTCGTGAACAGGTCCCGGACTCATCCCCTAATTGCCTCTCTGTGCCTTCAAACATTCTCTCCAATTTGATGCATGACTCAACTCCTATGTAAGTTTATGAAAATGTTGTTTTGCCTACCTTCTTTGCAATGCTTGCCACAGTGTGCATCTCGGTCATCCGTATTCTTAAAGGTAAATCACCCGAAAAGGTCCAAACTAAACTTGTATTTCAAGTTCTGAAGTCACCAATTTTTCACCACCCTATCGACCTTCATCAAATTCGTCCTTCTTCGAACACAAATTTTTTGTTTACTCCAACTATTTTCCAAATATATGTATATTGGGATCTGGAGTTCCTTCAATTTTCTCTTTTACTCACTGAATAAATGCCAAAAAAATCCCTACATTTAATTTGTTTGTAACTACAAATGCTTTCTTAATACCGTTTTGAAAAGCATTTGTTGCAACTTTAAGCTAACTTTTTCAGTGACAGCAGAGATTTTATAATTGGCTTCGGTCTGTTTATAGCTGAAGCCAAATGTCTTTCTAATGTATTCCTCTTTTATTTAGGAGCATTCATGCTGACATTATGGATTCAAACTTCTTGCGAGTTAATCTAAGTTTTCTTTAAACAAACAGATGGTAGATGGGTGTTAATAATCTCTTTAATCCTAGTTATCGATTTATTTTATGCTCATCTCACCATGTGATCGTATTTTCAGCCATGGGGGCTGTTTTGTGCAATCTGCATGCAGGCTATCTATTCAAGATACTATGAAAATTTATTTCAATTCAATTTGCACTATCCTCAGTGCATTGTAGTTCATTTTAATTCACGTGACTAATCTAAGAGCTTAAGTGAGATGGCCGAACAGCAAAGAGGGGAGAATCATTTCATGTTATCGATTTTCGATACCAGAATAAAACTTTTCAATTTTTAATGCATTTTACGGTTTCATATCCTATTTTCTCGAAATGTAAATAGCAAGATCTACACCCTACTAGCTACTTGAGTGATTATATGCCCACAATTGAGCACAATTTTTTTTTCACTAATTCCACAGTTCTTCCAGAGGCTTCTAATCCCTAAATGTGATTCTTTTAGGCGCATCATTTGCGAATCTCTAAAACTATGAATTAGGTGGAAGGGCTTTTAGTTTAACTTCAATTCCAGAATGAAAAATCACTTTTTACCTACCATTTCAAACGCAAATAATCATCTATTAAACGTAGGTAGACTATTAAGTTGTTGGATTGGTTTTGTGTTCCAGCGTTGACTGCACCATCTGCCATATTCCATCAGTTAATCAATCACTTCCGCCCAATAAATCGATACGATGTCGGTTGTGTCGAGCTGCCTATGTCCCTGAATTTCTCCTCTCGTCCACGGATTTTCCACCTGAATTACCTGTTGCTGGCAGACCTGCTTTCATTCAAGTTGGGTAAGTGAAGTCACATAGATCTTCCATCAGTTGACATTGATGTGCTATGATAGTGGGAAGGCCAGACCTAATCTAAAATCCCAACCTGATCGACCCCTTTAACGCTTCTACTGTCACTATGTATACTGGCACAATATTTTGTGTATTTATTGTAGCTGAAGTTTCCTATTTTGGCAATAGCTTTCGCTGCGTATTGATAGAATAACGGCCAACGTGGAGGTTATCGAAGCCATAATAATTTGGTCAAATCCTCGTCTAACTAGTAACGAGCACATTTCCCAAAACGGGGGTGGAGGAGGGGGGGGGGTATAGGTTCCATTTCCAACAATGTAGTTGACCAACTGTAGTGTTTAATTCCGATTTTACCAAATTCAAATCCTATTACTTGGCTTAATGAGTTCGAAAAAAATTTTTTCTTTCAGTTTAGTTAGTGCTTACGATTTGTAGATCGATGGTTCAGTGATGAATTGCTTTGAGTTGGATAAAATTATGGTTGGTTATAATCACCACTGCAATAGGAGATGCTTTAATACCCGGAAAGAGACTTGTTTTGGGGGGAGTTTATTTACCACAAAGTATTAACACTGTACTGTACAAAGAAATAAAATATATATGTTACTTAATTCACATACAAGATGATTAAGACCTTCAATTAATAGCATATGGATTGAGAAATGAGGATAAAATGATATGTAGTGCTCTACTGGCCTTAGTGAATCACCCAAAGTGGAATTCGAGTGTCGTTTATTTTCTCCTCCCAAAACGTTATCTACCCGGACTTCTGAATCAGCGTTATAGTTTATTTTGTGGAAGATTCGTCGTAAGGAGGTTTTTGATGAAATTTTAAATTTAATTAACTATTAGTGATTTTTTATTCTTTCTTCAATTATTTTATTTTACAGTCTGAGCCGGTCAAAAAAGGAGGCGAAGAGTGAATCAGCTGCTCGTGAAATTAGTGAAGTAAGTAGAAATTCGCAAAATTTCAAATGGCTTCTCCCTATTTAGCTCCTCCCTTACATTGAGTATGAGCTGCACTATCGACTCCTGCAGAAACTTCGAGTAAGTTTACGTATATATCAAGGTTGTTTAAATCATCCTCTTTTTCTAGCTGCGTGGGATGAATGCAATTTTTGGTCTTTCTCTTCAATTGGCTATTGGCGAGGACTTGGTCACCGTTCTCGCCGTAAGCTTTCATTTAATTGAGTACTACTTAATGTTATAAGTAGTTGTGTATATTGTTTGTTGCTTTCGCAGACTGGTACGGGAGTATACATTCCAGCGCTTCCCATTCCACAACTACAAAAGGCCTGTTCTGTTAGTGGGGTAAGTAACTTGCATATACTTTCATTAGCTTGAGACATCTATGAATCAAATGCTCACGAAATCTGCTTCAAAGCCAGCCTGTTTAGTATATCTAGAAGTCATGTTGAAATTTGAAAGGAAATCAGAGAAGAGACGAAAGTTAGAGCATAGCGAATTCTCGAAATCGTACGAAAAGAGTCATTTATAAAATGACAGTTTAGCTGATTCGTCTAAACCGGCAGGAAATAGGAATTTTAAAGATGTGGGTTATATGGTTTTGAAGGTATTTTGAATGACAATGGACAGTTTAAAAGTGCAGGCATTTTTAAGTACTTCTTGATTTGATAGTGGTATTTCGATTTCAGAACATCGCCAACTCATTGGTTGACGTACAACAAAACCTGCTTTCATTCAATCAGGATTGTCGTGCACTTTACGGTCTCCCTAATGTAACCCCTAAAAATTTCTATCAGCTGCTTAGTAATGCGGAGTCATTCTAATAATCTTATTGTTATTATTTTCAGGTGGCCAATGAATACGGACGAGGTATTCTCGAAAAAGACTTTTCTTCTTCAAATTCTGTAGACCTTTTGGAAAAGGAAAATAAAGAAGCGAGTGATGGCAACTCCTCGGTTCATCTTAGATTTTATGAAGATCACTCTGGAACCTACTTTATAGACGCAAGAGAACCAGAACCGGAAGAATTAAACTCTCTTCTTACTGAACCTCTTCCTCCTCCTGGTACATTTAAAACCATTTTTAAACGGGGTAGAAGGAAGTAATAATAAAGAGGTCTTTATGAGGAATAACTCAAATAACTGAATTTAATGAATCTTTTATCAACCTTGAACTTCAACGTTAGCTTAGAATTTACTTGACTCCACTTCGAAGCAGGGATTGATTCGCTATCGATTAACTGTAAATCGGTGCAATAACACTAATGATGCCATTAATACTGCTGAATTCTGAGCATACGTAGCCACGAATGGGGGGGGGGAGATTTGGAATTTACCTAACCCTTCTTAATTTTAGGGTCCTAATTAACTGCCTGCACCTGTTAAGGGGTATATTATCCTACACCCGATTTGAGCAGGTGAGTAACAAATGGATGACCTCGCACTTCATTGATCTCCTCTTGATCAACTTATATTAGTATGATTGAGCTTTCTATTCAATGGTCGCGCACTTAAGAGCATCGATCTTACGATCTCTGGTTTTAGTGATGTGCACGTTGATTACCACAGCACCAGTACGCACTCACAGCTATCTTAACGTTCTTGTGAACACTTCATCACGATAACTGCCATGATGAAAAACGAAATAGTAGGTTCCGCTTTGGTGGTTAGCCGTCAGTTAAGTTGTGATAGTCGATCTCTTGTTGTCTTTCCATTTTGGCTTTGCTTTCCGCCGAATTTGCTATATTTAAGACCCATGTAAACAGGTCCTCTTTTTCAAGAAGCTGGTTTTTACCAGTTACTGATTTCTTGCTACGATTAGAGTTTCTTCAGTGTGATATCCCTTTGCAGTTGCCACATGAAACTCGTAATTGGACATTTTCACTATCGCTATTTGCCAAGTGATATCGCATGCACTTTCGACTTGTAGGTCTGCTTTTCATGACAACGGACAATCTCCCAAACGAGGAGAGTTATTGCTCCCTAGTTAAATTGAAGCGAGAACAGAATGCAACCACCAGTAGCAATGCCCCGCATGGCGTTCACACCTTCGTCAAAATCCATACAGTTCAGAGTCTCAAATCTGACGATACTTTGGGTTCCATGTTTTTACACTATTCAACTAGTGGGACTACCAGTACTGACCTGCCCTCCCTCTCCATTCCACCGTCTTCCACTCCTCTCGAGTCTTCAGTTAACGCTGCTGCTTCTCTAATGAATAGATGCATGGCCAAATGTATGAGGGATTGCAATCAGTTAACTTGGTTTCACTTTCGCGGTGTTATGCCTTGTGCAATTACTTCTCTGGTCTACCGTCTGATTATTACAGACGACGATGTTGTGCAGATACTATGCAGTGGAGTTGCTGTAACACCGAATTGCGAAGAAACCTCCCCCCTCATCAGATGTACCGCCTCGACGGGCTCTGCCAAGTCAGAGGCTCTGAAGATGGCTATGAATACCACCAAAAGGAGTATATTCAATCTGCCCAAGGGTTTTCGATCAGGCCCCTCGATCGAACTCAAACCGCTGGCGCAGCAAAACAGTTGCCTTGAGGATGAATTAGCTGGGCGGTTGACGGTGAAAAATCCACCCAAAAAAATGAAATGGTGGAAGTCATTGTCGAAGGATGTGACTGGGAAACGTTCGGTAGGCTATGGGAGTAAATTACCTACAAAAAATTCAAAACTGCAGAAAATATTATTAAATTATCATCCATTTTAAAACCTACTTTGGTTAGGAAGACTTTGAGCTATTGGATTTATTCCTATTACAGGAAGAGTAAAGTATGGTTTGATTTCTTTCTATACATTTCCAGTTCCATTGGCGAATAGAGGACATTTTCTGTGATCAAAAATACGAATTCGCTTATTTTTTAATCTAAGCTCTTAAATCAGTCCTAATTTGTTTGACATTAGATGATGGTGTTCAGTTCACTGTAGTTATGGTTTAAGCTTTATGACAAAACGCCCAGCTTTACAAATAATATAGACCGTGCTTGGCAGATTTGACGTCAGTTTTTACTATCGTCCTCCTGCTCTGAATACTCAATATCATCCATTAATCTGTATTTCAATCATAATGATAGTCATTCTGGAATTATCTGTGTCATTTCATTTTCATCGTTATCGTCAAAGAAATGCCTTATAGCATTACCCTTGACATCATTTCAGACTATTAGAATTTCTGTTTTCTAAGAATCGTTAACACATTTCACTCAACAGAATTTGCTTATCGATTTGTGCTTACCAATGTAGGCATCAATCCTTTACAATGCATGCCACGATTTGAAGAATACTATGTGTTAACTATCACTAGTTTTTATCAAGTTCTGTTACGTGGTCTACTAGGTTAAGTAACTATGTGCATTCATTTACCAGTCGCTCGAACCGTGAAAATACAAATAATCATCGTGTGCAAGTTATCTCCAGGTAATTAAACGCTTATATTTTTTAGAAAACAGCAAGTTCAGCAAAATACCCAAATGGTGATATCAATGGGACTAATCCGCGAAATGGATTCAATGCGCCAGAGGAGAAATGTGTCCTGACGCCTTCAACGAGTCTTCCAAATAGCAGGGTGGAACACTACCTGGGTAGTTATAGTTTCTTCTTCGTTCGGGAGACGAATGATTTGCGAGAGGTGAGATCCCTCTCTTAGTGTCATTAGTTAGGTTTTATCCATTATTTGATCAAAGACCTTGGTCCCACTCTCTTACTATATTAAGTTACTGATTAATTAAACTCCCTTTGAGTAATGATTTTCAATGAAAGAATTATAGTTTCTAACATCACCCCCAAATTTGTAGAATCCAGAGTTTGACAGGACCGCTGTTGTATCCAAGCTCCCAGCGTTTTGCCACGTGATAAATTCCCTTAGGGCCATAACGAACCGAATAAGTCTTCAAGAAGAGTCAAGAATGTAGTCCACACAATATGGCTTGATATACTCTGGATCTGCCTCGTAGTTCAGCGTGGTTTCTTTAGTTGTCACGTGCCTTAAGGACGTTTTCTCAATACGTACCGTCTTAACCAAGGAAGTGGTTAGTCCAAATAGCAACATATCCCTTTAACTTTGCGTTTCTGTGCTATTGGTGAGATTTTTTGGTGAAAAATCTACCCGACCGAACAACTCGTATTGAACAATCTCACCTTGTTGTTCTGTGTTACGTCAAGTGAATGGATTTTGGAAGTTATGTTGCTACTGGTATGGCTGTATATACCACATATAATCTAGACTTTTCGCTCAGATATATTAGGGCCACTTTATGTCAGGCCCAAAAAGAAAGTATTTGCACAGTTGGCTGACTGGAAAGATTTCATATCCTGGCTCATGCATTGCACATTAGATTATTAAAATGGCATTTTTTATAACTTTGCAGATGGGCGGGTTGCGATGCTTCGTCCACACAGCAATAATGGAAGCACAGTCAGTAGCTGCAGCACATACCATGGGACTGGGGGGCAACGCTTTGCTTTCCTATCAAATCAGTGAGATGCTAATTCTACGACCGACCTCAAGAAATCAAGCACAATGTCTCATCAACCTGTGCGGCGATATGGTTCGAACGAGTGTCAACTAACAATTCCGTCCATGACTATTCTACTCGTGTTTGCTTACTTCCAATATCCTATGCAGTGTTGTCAAATGACAGAAAGATAAATGAAATGCATTAAAAATAGGTATTTTATTTTGAGTTAGGATGTATTCGAAGTAGGTCAAAAAAATTGTGTAGGAGATGACCTTCCACTTCTTCAGATAGTGTTTTTCTTGTGATAGGGTCGATTAAATCCCACTTATCAAGCATGCTGCCATCAATACTAAGGCTAAGATAGACAGGACAGCCCAGACGTTTAGCCAACCGTTTGGAAGAAGTGGATTCTGGTGAACTGCGGACTGAGGGAAAGAGACTATTAGCGTGGTATATGGATGAAGTTGAATCATTATGCGAAGGAAAGCTAACAGACAAGCCTTAAAAGTGTTATTAGATAGACGAAATATTACCGGTAAACCGATTGCTGGAATCGCCAATCCAAATGAAATATGAAGAATTAAGCTGCATTATGAAAGACTTCAAGGAATATTTCGAGCCACCGCATTCAAACTCAAGGTTTCGATAATGAACATCAAAATTGGCGTTATTCTAAAATAATTTTTCCCGCAATTACAACTTACCAATGAATCAGTTTTTTCCATTAGTGCACGTGTTCATATTCTCTCAAGGTCATTAGCAAAATAAAATAATAATGTTTAGTTTATCAATTTTTCAAAAAAATTTAAGAACAGAAATTCCAATCTAAATAATTAATGATAAAATTGTTTATATAAATCCAATCATTAGGAAGACACTAAAAACACAAAATATTTAAATGGTTATTTCCCTTTATTTGAATTATCCAACGAGACAATTTTCTCTATTCTAAACCTGAAAACGTAGTCAATAAGTTAAGAGAACACTTATAAATTGAAATTTCCTTTGAAACTGTAAAGTACTATAGCCTCAGCAAGCATTATGATGAATATTTTGGAAGAAGCGGTTTTCAACAGCACGATCGTATTATGCTTTGACAACTAATATTAATTCAAAATTCAGATAAATATTGTGGCTTCTATATTAAACACAATCTAAAAGCATTCATTATCGACGAAAATTCTCACTTTTAATTGTTCCTAATGTCAAGGTCGTGGTTTGTTTATTCGAGAGGTCAACTGCTAAATGGCCATGAATGACCTTGAGGAGTCGATTGCTGGCATTATTCGCCTATCTTCTTTTTCTTGTCATGAGGAAGAAGTATCTTCGGACACATGGCAAAAACTCTCTTTATCTATCAATAATTTATTCAAAAATTTGAGGGATACTAATGTCGCCTTTAATGAACTTCCTCATAGATCACTAATACATTTACTTGTAATAGTCTATGGCGTTGCTGGGAATTTTCAATCTTCAAAGAAGTTAACAAGCCTTGATAGTGAAATCGTGAGTCTGACCTATGTGGTTGTAGACAAAATCGCGTCATCTTTTAATACTTCAGGGTGTCTTGAGCTCCTGAATACACATATTGGCAGTGATCATCTTAAAAATGAAGTTATATATGATCTTGTTCTTCAAGAAACAACAAGACTTATCACACACCTTTCGAACGGCTGTGACACCAGTCCTCTGTGCAAGGGTCCAATTTTTCGAGATGCGCTCCTCTTTGCAACCTTATCGGCAAAATATCCTACCCTAGGCGATAGCTGTCAATTAAGTATCCTGCATCCTTTTTCTCTTCAATTGCTTGAAGATTATCGTATCAACATTAAGCAACGTGGTCTTGCGTTATTACTACATTTAAGCGACCAATTCTTACTACCAACGTGGCGTCTTAGCGGTCGAGCTATGGCGACTTTAGAAGCTCTTGCAATTCAGCGAATTACCAGCGGACAAAATATGGTTTACTATTTAATTCTTTATTTATTATGTACTTCTAGACATTTCTCGATTCGGTTAACTCGTGCAGCCTTCAGTTCATTAGAAAATTAGAGCCTCAGGATTCTCTCATTTGGGCAGAAAAGTTTATGGAACAACTTTTAGTTGACGCGAACTTAGAAGGGAATCTTGAGAAACGCCTTCTTCTTTTAAACTCCATATTGGCCACCATGGAAATTCTTGATAAACGAATATCGATTCAATCAAAGCGACTTATAGAGGTTATTCAAAATGCTATTTTAGCTCCTCCACAGCCTGCTTTTGTAAGTCTTAATTTTTTGGTAAACTTATCTCTCCTAGAAAACGGACGCGAAGGAAAAGGAACAAGCCTCCCACCTACAGTCACTGAAGATTTTATCAGTTTTCGTCGATCTTACCATCGATATTCTATATCCAGATTTGATTGAAATGGTTGTTCCGCCTTTGAGCGTATTCTATGAGCTTACAAGTGAAAGAGTTAAGTTAACATCTAGCGATCCTTTCCTTGAATCCATATCTGAGTCAATCGTTAAAATATTTGTGAAGCTGGCTTCCCCAGATACTGAGTCTTTCCGTGTCCTTCTCAAAAAGATGTCCTTAAATTTCCCCTCTCTGGAAAACATCGCCTGTGAATGCACTTTGTAAATAAACTGTATTTTGTAATAATAGAATAATTATCTACAGTGTGCGGAGGGGGGGGGGGTGGTGTATGCCTAAAACACAGACTTCTCTGCAAACGGTGCTTTCAGATAGAACCTATCGAAAGAGAATCGTGTAAGGTCAATGGATTTGTAATGCTTGTAATGAACGAGTTCAGCCACTGCTCGGCCAATGGGAATCGCGTGCTGGATTCCTAGGCCTGAGGCGCCAGTGGCCATGACCATATTGTAGAGATAGGGGTGCTGTCCAACAATTAAACTTTGGTCCACAGGGTTGTAATCGTTGAAACACGCCCAAGCCGTCTGGATACGTGATGTAGCCATGGTTGGTATTCTTTTCGCCAAAAGCGGCTGAA